GTGTAATAAAACATGCATAACACTCTCATAAAAATGATAAAAGAAAAACGTCTGAAACAGATTGGATTTCTTTATGATCAATTATTATCAAATGAATATTGTGTATTGGCTTTATTAGACCTAATATAATTTGATTTAAAGTTATTTATAATTTTATGCACTATGAAAGAAAAAGTGAGCACGTTCACATACGCTCCTCCCAAAAGTCGAAGTAGTGCTGAAGTTACCAGAAAAAAATAAAGGAATCGTAATTTCCTTGTAATATGCACATCTATACACATTGTGTCCTAAATATCTGCAAAGTTTGACGAAATTGTGTGCAGCGGTTTATGAGGAGTTGCGCTGACAAACTTTTCACCTCTATATTCAAGATATGGCCAAAATCTAAATGTAAAAGTGCGGAAATTCCCGAAAAATAAAGAATTCAGAATTTCCTGGTGATGTGCAAATCTACACACACATTGTCTCCTATAAATATCTGCAAAGTTCGACAAAACTCTGTACAGTGGTTTATGAGAAGTTGCGCTGACCAAAAAAAAAAAAAAAAAAAAGACTGACTGACGGGTCAAAAACATTATACCACACGCTGGGGTAAAATAAACGAGTTTGATTCTTTGGTACAATGATAATGAAAATAGAATTTAATGTGAATTAAATTTCTAGACATAAATAAGTAATGATTATTAGAAAAAGCATATAGGAAGAGAGAGTAAACTCATCGTGAGAATTCCACATTCTACCTAAAACTAGTTTTTTAAAAAATCTCTTGTCTGTGTCCAAGTTCGACACATACGTTTGAGAGGGTATTCGAGAAAGTTCCCAATGTTCCCATTCCTGTGATTTATATTTCACGTTTATTATATCCCCCGCCTGAAAAGTGGGAGGTAATCGTTATGTCCGTTCGTCTGTCTGTTACGCTTTGGGGTACCCATCTCTTATCCGCAAATCCTCTTACACCACTTAGAGAAATTTAATGAAACTTTCAAAGAATCTTAAGTTTATTACAGATTACCATTATGCACCTCCTATTTTACTTTTTGATCTGACACGTATGGGTTTAGCGAAATATGGACTTTGTCATTATAACCATATGGGAGGCAGGGGGTATCATTTAGTGAGTTCATTGCTCATAATACATGTACGTCTAGTTTCTCTTTCAATATGGGCGTTTGGGTTAATTTCCTGTCCAAAGTAAAATTATTATTCAATTTATGAAGTTTCGACATCCCGCCTGAAAAAAATCCTTGATCTGTCCTAAGGCATAATAAATAGTACAGCACAAAGTGCGTAGGATTTTATACCTATCATTGCCCCAACTGGTGGTTACAGAGAGAGAGAGAGAGAGAGTGAGAGAGAGAGAGAGAGAGAGAGAGAGAGAGTTCAATATACAAAAGAATAAATAATAATTATCCGTATTCAACCAGTGTCAAGTATCCCTACCCTAGCTTTTTAAATTATCTCCCAAATTCACCTACAGAAATTATTTATATATATAAAAAAGTACATAGACTATCAGGTAGGGATACTGAAATCTCGAAATAAATACTTCCTGTAACAACATAATTATAAATTTAACAGTTACATTCCTCAAAAAGCACATACTTTGTGGTCGGAGTGACACATTTTAAAAAAATCTCATAACTGAATTCGGCAGAAATGTCTGTCTTCCATGAATATTTAAATAACGATCATGTCAAGTATTTTTGTATGCCCCCCCCCCCCCCTCCAAAAAATAAAATGCCTAAATGTCAATCTGAACAGGGGATGGCCATCCTCCGTGTGTGTATGTGTTAAAGAATGTATAGATGTACACATAAAAATTTGTATTCTGGTTAATTGCTTTTAAGATTTGAAGTAAATTATAGCCGTATATCAAATTACTTTGTTTAGATTTGAGATTAGTACTAAAATAATCAGTTATAATTGACAAATGAATTTTGCGACGCAAACCAACTGCAGACTATATACAGGACTTTGTCTAGAATGTATATTAGAACTACATGTAGATAAACAATTCACACTTATAGCTTATGAACATCAGTTATAATACCCCCCCCCCTTTCAGCCGCGCAAATACCAAATAACTTCTCTTTCCACTTTTGATATTTTTCCTGACCAAAATCTGATCAGCACGGACTAAGTGTATCGTCGTGCTAGTGTGTACGGAGTAATGACAGTGTGTTTACTATTGAGCTTTTATGGAGTTTATTTCTTTTTTGTGATGCATATTTCAATAAATGGAATTCAGGGTGTATTTCACTTGACTTGTGCACATCTTCGAACCGATGCAGTAACCTTATTACCAGGTATGGGTACGTTTACAGCGTTCGAGGCGTTTTCTCGATATGCATCAAATCAATTGCATAGGACCTGCAAATCACAGACGTTGGTTGTTTTGTTCCATTCAAATGATAAAATTTCAAAATGTGTTTGCAAATTTTACTGCTTTTCATTTCAAGTTTATTCTGCATAAATTGGCGCACTGTAAAAATACGTACTCATGCATCTAAATTTCTCTTCCAAACTTGCATTTTTTTCTTTTGATTCAAATCAATATTCATTCAAAAAATATGATTATTATGTTGTTTATTTTGTTTTTGAAATGTCTTGATCACCTCATGTGTTCTCATATGCTTTACCATCGGAGATGTGCACAAGTCGATACCCAATCCAAAAAATCATTCAAGTGTAACGAGCGCATTGGGGTATACATCGTTACAATGAGACAAGGTATCTGAAAGAAATATGGCGAAATACAGCTATAGTTGGTATGAAACAAGTCGTACATAGATGAAAATGTTGCGTATTTAAGAATTCATGTCAGCTTTAAGCCAAGGGTCATACACTGTATCACAAACATGATTTAAATGCCCGAAGTCTTCATGAGCCATGTAGCACAGTGGTTAGAGCGTTGGTCTCAAAGCTGTTATAGACTATGACACTTTGGATTTTATTGCTAGGGTTCGAATCCCACGAATACCATCTAATATTTTTATAAAAGATTGATTGATTGATTGTATACTTTTTAACGTCCCTCTCCAGAATATTTCACTGATATGGAGACGTCACCATTGCCGGTGAAGGGCTGCAAATTTAGGCCTATGCTCGGCACTTACGGCCTTTGAGCAGGGAGGGATCTTTATCGTGCCACACCTGCTGTGACACGGGGCCTCGGTTTATACGGTCTCATCCGAAGGACCGCCCCATTTAGTCGCCTTTTACGACAAGCAAGGGGGTACTGAGGACCTATTCTAACCCGGATCCCCACGGGGCTTTTATAAAAGAAAAAAATACGAGATTTTTGTTTCTCTCAGAAAAGTTTTTTTTCTCTCAAAATTTCAAAAATGAGAAGTTAATTTAAATACTCAATTCACATATTGAATATGATTTCTTGATATCCCCATCTTCTTTAAAAACTCCCCTTTCTTCATGGTAAGAAAAAGGTAAACGCTATGTCAACTCTACTGGAAGAATAATTTTAAACATTTAAAGAAATCACAGAAAAAACAGAACTGTATGTTTTATAGTGGAAAAGGAGGATTTATTTCGGAAAGCAGTGTTGATTTGCAAAAAAACGTAACAGTAATGATAGCATCCTGAACAATGTTATATCCTTGACAAAATGATTTCTTTTGACATTATGCCATATTACGGCATGGGTTTTCCATCTGTCAATCTATCGTTCTGTTCAACTGTCATTTTATTTATTGTGTCCAGGTAATATATTTCATATCGTGAGAAAATCAAAAATTGGTCCTTAGTTGGAGGTGTGTCAATCCAAAAAAAAGGTCATCTTGACCTTGATTTGAAAGAACTACACACTCTAACTCTCGATTCCCGTCTACGTTTTACAATCATTTTTGTTGTTTTTGTCTATTAACATTTTTCCCCCTCGTGAAACACAAAAACTTTGATATGAATTTGTGAAATGAGTCCAAATTACTCGTAAAAAGGAATTTTTGTTTCAAGGGTGCGGTGGGGGGTGTTAGAAGTTTTAAAAATATTTTCCGTTGATTTCTATAGTTTTACCAACATTTTAGAGTTATCTCTCGTTGGTTTTGAAAATAAGTGTATTATGAAAATCCATATAAATACCAATATATATGTAAGGCTCGAAAGTCCGATAGTGACGCAAAGTCCGATGGTCTCGCCAAACCCGGATGGTCTGCGCCAAACCCCGATTGCTCGCTGTTTTTACGGACACCAAAGTCTGATGATCACGCCAAAGTCCGATGGCTCGTTTCCTATGAGACATGTTGCACTAAAGTGCGATGGTCTGATACGCCTAAGTCTGATGAAGTCGGCGGAACAATCAATGTTGATGACGTCACAATAGTCCGACGTCATGCCATTGTCCTACATTCAAAATCCATTGAATCAGTATTCATCTCGTGTATACAATTTTACTGTTTTTGCCTATTGTTTTCACCCACTAGAGGCATTAATTAGAGTTAGTCCTCGCACACCATTCGACTGATAGGTTAGTTCTTGAACACTGTTGGATTGATAATGTGTTTCTTCGAACACATCCGAGAGATTTAGGGTTAGCATGATTTGGAGTAGTCCAGCACTCACCCAAGATATTTAGGTTATAGTTACTGAGTATTAAGCATTTTTCGACTGAACAGGCTTAGTCTCGCACCTATATCCAAAAGATATGGGTTAATCTTTGCATTTAATATTTATTTGTGTTTATTGTAAACAATCAGGCCTTAGCATGGCGCAGCACCTTTTGCACAGCAAAACTATGACGTCATAAACGTTAATTGTTTTCTGCACCATTGGACTTTGGCGTGTCAAACCTTCAGGTTTTGGTGCAGACCATCGGACTTTGGAGTCCCATCGCACTTTGGAATCCTACACATACATTAAAAATCATTCGAATATCTTTACTTTTGAAAATTGACTTGGAGGTAGGCAGGAGAACGATATTTCTGTTCGCAGTTCTTTATGGCTGTTTATACATATACATAGCTAACTTGCATTTTGACAGGCATATCATGTACTCTAGCAGTGAATTGTATATACGTTTTTTCCCATTGAATCACCTGTGTTAGCAACTCATACAAAGAAACCATCTTTAATATGACCTTAATGAATTTTCTGATACGCATGATCATTTTTGTGAAATCTGATGAATGATGTCATTGTTCACTTGTTTTTTTTTTCCTTGCAGATCTCGATTAGATCAAGTGAGGGTAACGCCAGAAGGAGCAGACGTTGCAAATTGTTATCAACCTACAGATGAATTCTTCATCAAAGTAAGTACATGTCCTTAATACCACAGGCAAGTATATTTTAAAGAAACTACATGTATACATGTAACAACAGTACAACTATAAACAACTGAAAGTACTGTAAAACACGCTTATAACGAATTACCTGAGACAGGTGATTCTGATTTGTTATAAGAGTTAGTTTGTTACAACTGTGTTCGCTATAATCAGGTTTTACTGTATATGAAGGGATAGAGGGAAAGAAAGGTAGAGATATTAAGTTCACAATCTTAAGAAAATAATTTACATAATATTATCCCTTTAGATTTATTTTTAATGTGATAATTAATGCTTCTGTATTTAGAAATTCTTTTTATGTTACCTTCCTATTGTTTAGCAAAATTAAAAATAAATTTTATGAAGGTTGTTTTTGTCTTTAAGTTAATGTTCTTGGACGTTATTTTTTTTTTCTTTGCATTATGATAATTTTAAAGTGTAAAGAATGAAAATAATGTTTTGATGTTTTATTAGACTGTAGCAATGTTAATAAATCAAAATACACAATAAATTAAACTGAGCGGCAGATGGGCTTTTTTAGATTAAGCTCTAACACATCCAGTTGAGAAATATATGATGTAATACAATTTTTTCTTATAATTAATGTGTAAACCACAGAAGATGTATGTACATCAAACATTATAAGGAATGGCAAAATCTTTGAGATCTTTGTATTAAGATTGGGATGATTTTTGTTTGCATTCTATACTGTGTATGATAATTTAACTATTTGATAGGTGTACGTGTATCATGCTGTGGAGACTTTGCTTATCCGTGAATTCTCAATATCCTTGTTCGTATTAAACAAGTTTTACTGTAAAATGCTCAGATAAACATTTTCTACGTAATTCTGTAGGGATGGGAGAGTGAGGCGACATTTCTGATCATTTCCGGAAAGGACGATAGATGTCTCAATTACTCCGTAGTTGAACATTTTATGAAACTTGTTCCAACGGAACATAAACATCGGTTCCAGGTCATTGCTTACCCCAACACGGGCCACCTCCTTGAGCCACCTTATTCGCCTCACTGCAGGCACTCCTATCATAAGGTGCTCCGTAAGTATTGATTGTTTATTCTGAGTCGGGGGTAATTTCAGACATAAATCTAGACAAAGCAGACCATAGAATTAGAACCAAAAGTGATATTTTCAGGATTTTTTTTCAGCAGATTAAATCTTATTAAAGTGGATTTTAGACTTTTTAGCTGACCTGAGCCGAAGGCTCAATGAGCTTTTCTGATCAAAAGAAAGTGGGCACACTAGATAGGCAGTCGGCAGGAATCATTGGCACGAAACAATTCAGATTTAAATGTCCAAGCACCATGTTGTTTATATGTCATACAATGAACCTACATGTAGATACTTCATGGAAATGGATTTCTGTCTTATGTTTATCTATTTGTGAATTTTTTTTCAATGAAAAGTTGTCATGAAAGATAAATTATCTATGCTGGATATATTTAATAAAATATAATAGAAGTCTAACACTAAAAAAAAATTTCTGCTCATTTTTCAAATGCACTGAAAATATTGTATGTAACAGAGCGATTGAGGTTGCTAGTTTTTTTTTTATTTTCTTTTAATATATTCAATATTTTTTCATCAAGTATAACTTTGTTGTTACAAATTCATGTATGTTTATTTCTATTTGGGAACGCTAGCACTATATAAAAGAAAAAACGTGAACGCATTAAAAAATAAAACAATGTAAATTTATTTTTTAAAAAGTACTTTGCAACTTTATTCAAGGAGTATTTTTTTCTACAAAATCAAAATTTTCAAACAAAAAGAAAACAAAATTGAAAAATCACTGTATTCGAACCTAAAATGCTGCTACGATATAGCTCGAATCGCAGCGACAAACCAATGTAGCTACCAGGGCACGGTTAAAATACACTGATAACGCATTTAAAATTCATGGAGAAAAGACCCAGAAACAACAATATTATGAAGAACTGCTATTAAAGAGTCGATTTTTGCATTATTTCATTCGTAAGGCTAATATATTCAGGTCCATATTCAAATAAAATCAGACATATTCAACCGAATATTTGCCCATTTTACATTTACCTACTACACAGTCAATGCCTAGGATTTGCAAAAAAATGTATAAATCAATGACATTTTTAAATTCTTTTTTATGAGCCACAATTCCTGCCGAATCGCCATCTAAAGCTTCCACTTTCTTTGTCCGTTTTCTGTCGTTGTTGTCGGAACCGGCCTCATGCAGTATAACATTTTCACATTTTCACCTTCTCAAGAACCACTGGGCCAATTTCAACCAAACTTGCCACAAAGTATCCTTGGGTGAAGGGGAGTTTGTTTACATAAATGGCCATTCTCACTTCCAAGGGGAGATAATTACGAATTAGCGAAAAATTAATGGAATCTTTTTTAAAATCTTCTGAAGAACCACTGGGCCAGGAATAATGAAACTCATGTGGAATTATCCTCAGGTAGTGTAGATTCAAGTTTGTTGAAAATATGACCCCCAGGGACGGGAAGGGCCACAATGGACGATCAAAGTTTAACATAGATATATAGGATTTTTTTTTTAAATCTTCTCAAGAACATCAAAGCCATGGTTGGTCAAATTTATGTGAAAGCATCAAAGGTAGTGTATACTTAGTTCAAGTTTATTCAAATCATGACCCTTTGGGGTAGGATGGAGCAAGGTAAATAAAACAATAAAAGTTTAATGTAGGAGTATATAGGAACAATCTTCAAATATCTTCTCATCAAGGACACCAAAACCATGATTGTTCATATTTATGTGAAAGCATCCACATGTAGTGTATACATGTAGTGTATGTTCAAGTTTGTTCCAAATAATGACCCTATGGGTAGAGTGGAGTCACAATGGGCGGTCAAAGTTTAACGTAGGAGTATATGGGAATAATCGTGTTCTCAATAACAGCAAAGCCATGGTTTGTCATTTTATTTGGAAGCATCCTCAGATAGTGTAGATTCAAGTTTGTTCAAATTGTACCCCTTCCTCCTCACCCCCTCTGTCTTATAGGTGTAGGTCAAGACCACTCAAAATAATTTATAAGATCTATAATAAGTACGTTTTAAGTTTTTGATGGTGATGTTTACTTTTGAATAGATAAAAATGAGAAGAAATGAGACAGGTTTACAAATAGTGAGTAGACCTTATAGTGCTTAGAACTTATGTGTAGTCTGCATACCACAAGAGGGCAAGTTCAGATATTTTTTAAAAAATCAACTTTAAGATAATATGTTACTGAGCACTAAATCAATCATTTTGCTGATCATTTTGCTGATCCTAATTATCCTATTTTCTCCTTCACATATCGGCTTATTTCAGCAGAAACAGTTTATCATTCAGTCTTATGCTGAGTGACGTTTTTCATACTAATTATTAGGCTGTCATTTACACACTGAATTGTCGACATATTTTTCTGTTATTTCCTAAACATAACAATGAGAACCTAGCAGGGTTTGACCATCTGGCAGGAGATGCTCACTCCTCCACCTAATACCATCTCTAATGTTTTAGAGGTCCATGTTTGCTCCGATTTGTAATGTTTAATGGACTTTAAGCTTCATTACTGTTATCTCCACATCTTTCCTTTTATTTGTATCCTATGTACATGTTATGTCTTCATGTGGTCTTGAGGGCCCTTGTTTCCAGATATCATATCATATTATATGATTGAAAAATGCCTATCTTTCTGATTTGCTGAGATCCAACTATATGGAAGAAATACTACGTTGTGTTAACCCGCACGGGACGTTCCAGGTGAATACAAGGATTTATTTCCTCTACATTGATCTAAAAAAGGATCGGGAAATTACAAATTGATACAAATTGCTATTTAAAGTACCATGACTTTCTATTTAAACTACTATGACTTTTTTTTCATATGAACAAACCATAAGCGAATAGATGTATATATTTTCGGGTGAGGGTGGTTAGAGGGAATATAGCTAGGGGATCCCCCCCCCGACACACACTTTTTTACTGAAACAATACACTTTTTTCGGCTTTCAGTTTTCCCTGAAAATACTACTTCCTTTTAAAATCCTATAAAAAAAAGACTGACATATCTTTTTTTAATGGCAACTAATATAGATAAAAACATTTCAAACTGATACGGTTGGTAAGGTTTATTTATATTTTAATTCTGCTTTTCTCTCTGTATTTGGCTAGGACTTAATAAACTAATTAAATGCAAACAAGTAATGAGCTGTTTCATTTTATCAGTGAGTCATATGATAAAACAGTTACTGCTGTTTTTTCAATCAATACAATGATTTAGCCATCTTTGAAGTACAATATTCACCTCGCCCTTCGGGCTCAGTGAATACCAAGTATTATACTCCTCAGATGGCTAAAACAGCAAGAATTGAATAGTATTATTAACATTCAATGTTTATTAACATGTGTGTCATAATGTTTTAATGATTGTTTTTCAGAATCTGATGCTCTCTGGGGAGGAGAAACAAAAGCTCACAGTTACGCTCAGGAGGATTCATGGAGGAGGATCCTAGAATTCTTCTCAAACCAACTTCAATCTAATAAACAAATGTCTGGCAGCCATTTAAACACAACCAGTAAATTATAACAAATAAACAAACGCCTGTCTGCAACTAAAACACAGTCAGTAAATTATAACAAATAAACAAACGTCTGGCAACCATTTAAACACAACCTGTAAATTATAACAAATAAACAAACGCCTGTCAGCAACTAAAACACAGTCAGTAAATTATAACAAACTAATGTCTGGCAACCATTTAAACACAACCAGTAAATTATAACAAATAAACAAACGTCCGGCAACCATTTAAACACAACCAGTAAATTATATCAAATAAAGAATTGTCTGGCAACCAATTAATAAAAAACAAATAAAAAAATATCTAGCAACCATTTTAAGTTTTAAACAAAACAACTACAATGTAGTTAATTATAACAAATACTAGTAAAGAAATGTCTGACAACCACTTAATTATAACAAAATGAATAAATGTCAGGCAACCAATTCAATACAATCAATAAATTGTAACAAACAACTACAAACCTATAAAGAAATGTCAGACAACCAAGGAAACAAAGTTAGGAAATTATAACAATAAATACTCAGTAGATGTGATGCAACCAATCAGACAAGACACGATCAGTACACTATAACCAACTACAACATGTACAAACTACAGTGTAAATGTCTTGAACAACTTAATTACAATTAGTTAATCATAACTCTTATTCAGTGAATTATAACGAACAAAAAGTAAAAGTTGTTAGAATTGAGACAGGGTGTAATTGAAGAATAATTTTAAGTAGATTTTAATGAAAAGGTATTTCTTTTTTAATTGAATTCATCATTTACTTACAATTAGTGATTTATAATATATGTACAAAACGCATGTATTTGTATATGTGTATACATGCAATTTGTTTGATGTGACAAAATTATGATTTGGATAAAATCTAGGAATTGAATTTGAGATGGAAATTTTTATTTGCTTCCTGTTTTGTAATATATACATGTAGATAGAAAAAACATTTTTGTTTTTTTAAATTATTCTTTGATATTTTATCAAAATACCGGTATCAGAACAATTTTATTTATATTACTTTTTAGAAGAGAAATGAATCTCCTATTGTTTGCAAACATATATTTTCTTAAAAGGACTATTTACTAATGGGCATGTATTTTATTTGTATACTTATGAATGCCTTTTTTATTGTTAATAAATGGTCAAACCTTGTTATTTTTTATGAAACTAATGCATACTGAGAGTTTATAGTCTATTTAGGGTAAAATATAATTTAAAGAAGTGGTAGGGATATTGAAATTACTTAGTACTTTAACATATCCATGGATTTAATATATCTACATTCCAGGTAAAGAAGTTCAACAGAAAAATGAGTCAATAAATGATACCCTCGTAGTCCATATGATTACAATGACAAATTCCATGTTTTGCTGTGAGAACCCAAAATAAGTTTTAGATCAAAAATTAAATAGGAGGTGCTTAAGATCAAGATCTAGTAAATAACTTGAGACTAATTTTTTGGTGCACGATCCATTATGACGTCATAATCAATTTCAATTTTTGTTTTCCCGTACTTTACGGCTTTAGTAGAATTATGTAGAAAATAGTGTATTTTCATGTCATTCAATTTAAAATCATATGAAAAGTAAACCGGATACCTATATTAGATTTGATATAGATTTAAAGAAGAGGCTATGAACATACTAATTACCGTTTTCTGAGAGACTGTAGGCAATCTGGATACATTTCCTTTGCCGAATACGAAAAAAAACCCACCCATATTCATGACTGGTTTTTTTATTTTTCATTGAAAAATGACAGTTTAAAATCGGTTTTTCATCTTGTTTACCTACAAATTATGCCCCGAAACACCTTATATGACCAAGCTTTAGTTATAAAGCACCAATAAAGGAATTTATTTCTCAAGTTTGATAAATCTGTAGGCACCTTTCATTTACTAGATCTTGACCTTAATGGCATTATGTAGTTTAAAAAATCTGAAAGTATCATGACATTATTTTTCAGTGGTAAAAGAGGAGTTTCGGATCAGTGATACGCACCACAAAGTGTAACAAACGGACATGTTAGTAACTAGGGTATATACCCTCCCACTTTTAAGCGGGGGAATATAAAAAAAACTACAGTCAAACTTGTCTTAGCGGCCACCCGAATCAACGGCCACTTAATATTGTGTGTCTGTGTATATTACATAGAAATTCTGACAGCTTGATAAACAATAAAATTTACCAGGCTTTAAAAACTTAGCAAGTAAGTTAATTGCTGATTAATTCAGTTGGGGGTGGGTGGGGGGGAGGGGTTACACTGCTGACCATTTTTTGAACATATGAAAGTGAAATTTTTATTGAAATATTCGTACTTAAATTTCTATGCTTTATTCTTTTACCATTAAACTATATATTTGTGCATTTTTTTCTTTATAAAAAAGGATAAAAGTCAGGCACTGTATATATTTCTTCAAATGTACTAAAAATAATTTATTTCATATTTCAATGTAGCAAAAGCACACTGATGAATGCAATATGTTAATTAATATGTTGGAACAGAAACATGCACAAAACCTTAACATTTCGAATTCTTTAATATTCTTTTCAAATGAACTTGAATTATTATATATTCACATAAAAAGCTTTTTTTGAAATTGACCTGTTTTATTATTTGATTAATTAATTAAACTGTATGCTTAATTTTGTTTATTTATTGACCGAATGTCCTTTTGAGGGCAAACTGGAATAAGAGGCCACCTGTCTTAAGTGCATGGCCAGTTTTTAAGACTTCCCAAAGGTGGCCTCTTAAAACAAGTTTGACTGTATATGTAAAACACATAAATGAACCATACTTTTATGTTGGAGTGTAATGATATAATTAGTCTTAATTACAGTACTGTATCCCATTGGGTATATCATGATACGTTTGGATTGAGTTCGATTACTGGTGTTGCATCCAGATTGAAAAGCTATAGTGATTTGGTTTTTTGCTTTAGGGTCAGAGACCAGAAAAGCTTATGCGATAGTAAGGTGTCCGTCTGTCTGTCTGTCCGGCTGTCTAGCAGTCTGTTTGTCCGTCTGTCTGCAAACAATTTTTCAAAATGCTACCCCTCCTGCAGTTTTGGTCTGATTTCAATATAACTTGGCACACAAGTAGACTACAAGATGCAATAAATAGTGCATCGAGTTTGATTTCGATGAATGGTGTTGCAATGGTTACTAAAAAATAGATATTTTCATGAAATGCCTTTAAAACGCTAATACTCCTACACTTTTGGTCTGATTTCAATATAACTTGGCACACAGGTAGACTACACTAAGATACATGAAATAGTACATCTTTTTTTGATTTCGATGAACAGTGTTGTTACGGTTACCAAAAATAGAATTTTCTTTGAAATCCTTTTAAAACGCTAATCCTCCACAGTTTTGGTCTGATTTAATTTAACTTGGCACACAAATAGACTACACTAAGATACATAATATAGTGCATCGGTTTTTGATTTGATAATGGTGTTGCCATGGTTACTAAAAATAGAAATTTCTTTGAAATTCTTTTAGATTGCTCTCCTACAGTTTTGGTCTATTTCAATATAACTTGGAATACAGGTAGAATACACTGTGATACATACTAGTAATTTATATCGGTTTTTGATCTCATGGTTACTAAAATAGAAATGTTGAAATTTCTTGAAAAATATCCTCCTACAGTTTTGGTTGATGGCAATGGCTTCTTTTCTCATCCTTTATTAGAAGAAAAAACCATAGAGCTAAGCTCACAGAGACTTCGGGTTTAAAAATTACATGTTTCATTGATTCCTTCAAAATTAGAAAATTGTTTAATACATGTATATAGAGAATAAAATTTTGTTTAATTGATAATTGAAATCCTCTATCGAATAAAAGATATTGTATATTAAACATAATCCTCCATCGGTTTTAATTCTTCGTCACCCTATAACTATATAGTCATGCTGGAAGTTATTACAAGTGACGTTAAAATTTAAAATACTACTTTTAAAAATTCTAAATATAGGAAATTATCCTTTACCAGTCGGAATTTCATAAATATGGGTTTTTAAAATTCGCCGGGTTTTTAGCCAGATAAGAAAAAGAAGACCATGACACTTTGTCAGAAGGATTAAATTAATGTATCAGATCTATGTCGCAATCACGTATTTTAAAAAAAAATTACGGGGAATTAAAACCATCTATCCTTCTGTATTCAGCATTATTTTTAATATAAATAATCAGTTTTTTATACAATATGATTATTTTCAATAGCTTTACTGTTTTTGGGTTTTACCGAGTGTTGCTTACAATGGGAATTACCATTCAAACACGACCCAACCCAGATACTAAATTGCAGTCAAAAAAAAATTTGATTTTTATTTGTGTTTAAAGGAGACATACTTCATAAACACTTCTTTTGACTTTAGACGTCAATTAAATGCATCATATATTAAAAATAAAAATGTCCCGTTTCCCCGTAAACCAAAACAGATACCAGCTACTATAATGCAGTCAAAGGAATGCTAGATTTTTATTTATTTTCTTGCCTGAAATTGAACTTTTTTTCACAACTT